CCCTAAACCCTGAACCCTAGACCGGATCCCTTTTGCGGAAGAGGGACTGGTGGCGCTCCGCGGTTCTGAAACAGAGTCCAGAGGAGTGCGTCCTTCACTCAGCATGTGATGGCAGAGTGAAAGACCGGAAGTTTTAGAAGCCCAAGTCTCCACAGACGCGAAATTTGAAGCTAGCATCTTTGGTGCCACATCAGCTTTTTTTGTCCATGGATCGGCTGAAGAGCCGGCAGCTGCATGATGACAATGTCGAAAGTTTGATTTCTGCTCGCAAATGTCTCGGGGTCTCTACGCCTCACAAAGAAGACTGTCTGGTGCTTAGTAGGGAATGAGGGAATGGGTTATAGGGACTACTATAAGGGACCTTAAGAAAACTATCATAGGGATCCATTCCCCCATTCCCTACTAAGCACCCGACAGAAGAGGTTCAGGATTGGTCCTAGCAGCTGCCTGTTCTGGACATGGAGGCAGCTGGACCGGACAGTGGGGGTTCTATGGGTAGTTCTCTAAATTAGGGTCCCTTTTCGGGTCCCGAATATAGTACGGCACCCTTATAATATGGACCCTAAAAGGGACCCTAATTTAGAAAACTACCCCTATCGAAGTCTTGCTGCTACCTGCGCACTGCTTGGCTGCATTCGCATTCTTCTGGCCCCACCAGGTGGAGGGAACAGTGAGAACCTGGCAAGAGACCTCCGACAAGTGAGGCTTGCAAACCCCAAATCTTTGCATGCCCCCTCGACGCCCCTCGAGTGCTAGAAGCCGTCAAGCCGGTTTTGGGTTTGCAGCTACCCCTCGCAAGCTTCCGCAAATGCCCTGGGCCCTACCAGAAGATGACCCACTACTTATAGCTTGAAGCTGCAGGTGGTGTAAGACAGGCTAGGCAGAGGAGCCACATCTCGAAAAGGCCGGACTCAAGCCGCAAGCCATCACCACACCTGAAAATGCCACCTAAGCCAAACCATAAAAACCCCTACTTGGACGCTACTCCTGAATTCTTCCCCGAAACCCGGTTTGAACAACTGTCGGCCAAACAGTCAGCACCGAAGCGGTGCTGCAGAGTTTCACACAGTGAAAGTGACCTTTGGAGAAATAGCAGGAATGTTCGCTGCGTGCTCGGGCCTCGTAACAGGACGATTCTGAGACTCAGGCCTGTTGGTTGTTGCTCTTCGTGCTTCGTTCTTTGCGCTCCATAATTGCATCCTAGTCCTGGTTGTGCCTTTCACGTGTTCATTTCGTTTTGTTTGCAGTCCGTCTTCTACCGCATTGTGGCCTTGCTTGTTGTTCTTCAGCTCTTGTCCACTAGATTCACTAGTGCTTCCGTGTTCGTTTTTCTTGACCCCAGTTATGCTCATCTCATTTGTTTTTTGTCACACCCCTCACGGGTGGAGTTTTCTCCCCTCTTAATTACTCGTCTCTTCTTTGAAACGAATATTGCATGAAACCCTCGAGCTCGAAGTGTGTCACGAGCAAATCCACGAGGAAGAACGAGAGTAGGAAGCTTAAGTCGGGAGCTTCGGCAAACTAAGGGTGCTTTTCTGCAGATTATGCGGTGGGGAAGGCAGTTGAGCGTCCTCTAGTGGAGTGCCTTTAGCCTGGCATTAAGCCTTACGAGAGGCTCTAGTGTTTTCACACCGACTGCGCTTGAGACCTCGCCTGGATTATCTGAGTTCGATCTATTCGGCAGCTATGGCATCGGTTGTGGGCTGTGAGGGCTTGGGTTACCCGGCCAGCCTGGAGGGTTGAAGGCGCTCCTTATCGCCCTCTTCCGGCATGGTAATTACGCGTGTGGCACAGGCAGTGCAGAATTCAGGGTTAAAGCCCGTCAGCCCAAAGTGGCCACCCTCCCCGCCATGACAGCCATGCCAGAGATATCGGCGGAGCCGACCATGACAGATATCTGGCGACAGTCATCCGTCGCCACTGCCATTGAGCGGCTTCAAACGTGGCGCACGACAGTATCCACGGATCCTCAGATGCCCCTCCCAGCAAGCTGTGAATTGGTCCTACAATTCTATACAAACCCTGTACCCTCCAAAGCCTCCACCACTTTGCTCAAAAAGACAGGAAGAACCCCCTAAACCAACTGTGTAGGACTTTTCGCGGCAGATCACACCCGCTCCTGTCAGATCGGGGGCTTCCGTGCGGACGATCAATACCTTGGAGACGGGGGCCCTGAGTGCACCTTGGCCTCTGTGTATGGGGCCTTTCTGGATTTTGGGGTTTTCTGGCCAGGGATTAAGGGATTTAGGTAGCCTGGCATTCCAGCTTGTAGCCTTCAACGGCCTCCAGATTCGCCACATGGAACCGGAGAACAAGTTCAGAATCTGGTACACAGCATAACGGCATACGACGGAGGACCCGTGTAGGTTTGTGCCTGCTGTCGTAACTGTTTTGCAGTGCATGCTGAGGAGACACGATTCTCGTTTTCAGCATACCAAACGAACGAAAAGGCAGAAGGAGAAGTCGGATGGCTACGGCCCGGGCCGATTTGGACACACTGAAAACGAACAAAAAGGCAGAAGGAGAATTTGGATGGCTACGGCCCGGGCCATTTTGGACAAACTGAAATCGAACGAAAAGGCAGAAGGAGAATTCGGATGGCTACGGTCCGGGCCATTTTGGACAAACTGAAAACGAACGAAAAGGCAGAAGGAGAATTCGGATGGCTACGGCCTGGGCCATTTTGGACAAACTGAAAACG